TCAACCTCCTAGGAGGGGTAGTTGTTACCCTTAAATCTTAAATGGGAAAAGGGGTCAAGAGGCACATCATTTTAAAGGGCGTTTAATTATCTTCCCAATGGTACCCTAAAATTTATTAAACAAAAATTATTCTATCGAGTTAAATAACAGGAGGAATATCAAGTCTACATGTTTAACTTTTTATTTTTTTGGTAAGGTGACTTTTACAAAATAAATAACTTTTAATTTGCACAAGAAATTTTAAAAATAGAACACATAAGATCTACTTGTAGACTATTTTAAAAACTTTTCAAAATGTTGTCCATTGTAGTGTAAACAGTAAAAAGTCTGTTTCCCAACTCCTCTCTAACATTTCGGAAAACTTTTACCGGAAATTGACCGGCATGCTTGTGTAATTCTTCTTTTAAGATCATCAATATCAGCAGGTTGTGTTTCATAAACAACGAATTTAAGGTGTCCCCAAAGAAAAAAATCTAAAGGAGTTAAATCAGGTGATCTTGGGGGCCATTCAATTGCTCCCCTTCTGTTAATCAATAAAGGGCCTGGAAATCTCTGTCAGACGAGAAGAAAAAATTAGGTGTAGCAGCGTCCTGCTGGAAATGTAACACATCTCCTGTAAAACTAAATTACCTTCTGCATCAGTTTGTTTCTAGCTCCTGAGTTTATAAGAGGATCAATAATCTCTGCAAGCATATTAAGGGACAGATCGCCTGGCAAGTTTCCTTCATTAAATAAAGAACCAATAATTGCGTATGCCCTTCTTGAATAACATACCTGGTGTTCATCGCTCCAGTACCAACATTTGTGTTTATTACATTGTCATTTAGAAAAAAATATAAAATAAAATGTCATCACTGAAACAGATATTCAGCAGAAGATTGGGGTTGGCGTTAACTTGATCAGACATGGTTTTACAAAACTCAATTCTTTTATCAAAATCATCTTCGTAGAGCTCTTGAAGTAACTGCATTTTACAGGAATGAAATTTATGCATTTTCAGTGCTCTTCTTACAGTCTCGCGTGATATTCCCATCTGTTCTGCTACTATTCGTATGGAGCTAGTTGACACGGTAACAAATGTTCCCAAAACCTCAATTAGGGCTTCTTCATTTAGTACTCGTCGGTTCTTTTCCTATTTTTCACCGAACCAGTTTCCAAAAATTTTGCTACCAAATCGAGAGTATACATATGTCTTACATTACAATTAGGATGCCTTTCATTTAAATGCTGCCCTTCGTGCGCATTTTCCAACCTCTTCATGAAGGATAATTATTTCGGTTCTTTCCTGTAGAGAGTAAACCATTTTTGCTATAGAATTACAACCATTGTTATCTCCTGATCACAAATGAATACCAGATGCTTACCGTTTCCACTATCGAGTCAAATATTGTAGACAACGAGTGAAATATTTATTAAATTATACCTATCAAAACTTATTCTTGGAAATAAAGGCAAATTTAAGTTTAGGCTGGGGACCAATGAAGAAAACAAAACTAGGTACTTATTTGAACTATTTCTTTTATTTGAAAATCTTGCAAGATGCTACAGAATACAAAAATATTTAACAAACATTGCAAGTATTTCAATAATAGTTTAGTATCAGGTGTAAAAGTTATTAAAAAATAAATGAGACACTTAATTCAAAGAAAATTACCTAACATTTGAAAATCCTTGAAAAAAAACATATATTGCAAGCAGTTATTTTAATAATAGTATTAGGGGTACAAATTATAAGAATTGAATAACATTTTGTTCAAATACAATCTTCAGGACATTAACAAATACAAAGAATATATAACATTTAATTCAAAGAAAACTACTTATTATTAAAATATCTTTAGGATACTAGACAGGTACGGACTTTTTAACACAGAAGGTATATCTTACAATGAGTTTAACAAAGTTTAATAGGAACATGCAGATAACAAAGGGAGACCACTGTCAGAAAGCATGATATGGTTCCAACTTATGTTCTTTTCACTACATACATCGACACAAATTTAGATGCTACGAGTGACAGGAGTCTCTGCCTGATATTCGCAGGTTCCTAATTCAAATTGTTTTATTGTTGAAAAATACATCGTATTGACAAAGACAGAAAACAAATATATAAATATTTAAAATTTAAAAAAATGTGTACATACTAATATAAATGTACATCGTACCCAGATACAAACAACCGATTGCAACAATATTCATTAAAATTTATAGGTACGACAAACTTTGACAGAGTTTGAGAATGTGATTTGTCTTAATGATATGAACATCAAATTACGTTCAGTCTAATAAAATTATACGATCATTAGATATTGAAAGATATATATAAGTGTTCTTCCAACTGGGTGTCAATTACAATATAGAATTACAAAATATATAAAAATATAATTATTTGTATGAATTGTATTCAATTTAAAACTGGCTGATTGGCTAAGGATCTATATATATTTTTTATTATAATTTATAGATACTGTAAAATAGAAGGTTAGATTTTTTATTTAAAATTGTACAATATTTATTGTATTATCTAAATTGGCTTTTTTTCTTTATTTTGGACATATCGAGAGCCACAATGCAGGACCTCGTAACTAACATTGCCACTGAAAATTATATTTTATGATAATCTCGTTTAAAAGATTTCACTCCATCTACTGTATAAATGAAGTATGTATTAAAATTTTTGAACAAAATATGGTTAAATATTAGTCTCATTATAGAGTAAAATGGATTGTTCTATGCACTTGTGAATCTTTTTTTTTTGATCTCCTGAAAAATTTTGATTTTGCGACTTACGAGGTCTAGCCTTGTTGCCTTCGATATGTTGTTTACAGTCGTCAAAAGTAAATGTAAAATATATAAAAACATTTAGGTATAAATAAGTAAAATACATACAACTTAATTATATTATTTTTGAAAGAACTCTCGATCATTGCCTGATTAGAAATACGTCTTGTATTAGAAAAGTATTACATTTTTTTAACTATTATGCTTTAAAAATTTTTTTATTGAGCTAGAATATACCTTGGTCTACTTATTATAAGGTATACTTTCCCTTTTAAGAATTCTATAGCAGTATATGAAATACAAAACATACACAACATATTACAAGTAGATATTTTGATAAGAGTATCAGGTGTACAAATTATAACAACTACATGCCATTTATTGACATTTAATTCTAAGAAAACTACCTATTTGAAAACATTAACGACACAGTAAAAATGTTCCAGCATTGATACTTATCATATTTCTCTTCTTTAACACAGGTAGAACTTGCTAAGGGAACGAGTGTAACATTGCATCATTTATACGTCTGCTGTCGTTTTTGATATCTGTACCACATTTAGTTTGTTTAGATATCTGCATTTCTGTCTTCTTTACTGTATTTCTGCAATTAAAAAAAATCACTATTTAACAGATATTTATTAAATTTGCATGCTTATAGCTGTGCTTGTTTATCATCATATAGGATGCATCTGATGAGATGTGAATTTTTATCACGTAACAGAAGATTAGGGTTAAATGTAGATGTAATAAAGAAACACTCTAGACCTACTAGCCATGTGGTAAAAATGACAATGACAAGTTTTATACTTTTTGTGTTTGACCTTTGAGTCATTATAATATGAATACAAAAGTAGTTGTCCTTGTAATTTTTCTTATGATTATTTACTTTAAAACATAAGAATGAATTCTTTTGTTTCGTTTTCAATAATTTCTATTGGGAGATCATCTCCACTATCTAAATTGCTTAAAATTCTGTAAAACAGTGGTATAATATAGACTGCATAGGCATTATGTTTAAATGAAGTAGAAATAAACCTACCTAGCCTCCTTTGCATGAACTTCTGTAGCATGTTCTCTTTTTGATTACTTTGCAAAAATTAAGTAGCAGTAGCATTCCTTCTAATCACAGTTTTATCACTGACTAAAATTCAAAATGCTTCGAACATATTTTAAAATTTTCTTTGTGTGATCTTCCAATACTTTTTATCTAACCTAAAACAGATAAAAATTAATAAATATAATTTATAACTACATGCTGGTTATGAAACACATTTAATCTGGTAACTTACACATTAATGAATGATTTTGGTTAGTTTTCAATAATTTCTTTTGGTAGATCCTCTAAAGTCAGCACTATTAGAACTGCTTAAAATTCTATTAAAAAATGGTTTGAAAAGTTTACTAAAAAAAAGAAGGCTTCATTATAAATAGTGTTAGCACGCATATAGGGTATTACCTATATTTAAATGAAATAGAAATAAAACTTACCTAGCATCCTTTGGTGAAATTTTCTGTTCATGAGCTTCTGGAACATGTTCTTTTTTTTATTACTTGGCCAAAATAAAGTAGGAGTGGCATTCTTTTTAATCACAGTTTTATCACTGACTAAAATTCAAAATAAGAAATGCTTGAACGATTTTGAAATATTTCCTTGGCATACATTTTCTTTATAGGAGCTTCCATTACATTAAGCCTTTTTTTTTCTAACCTAAAAGACAAATAAAAACGAATAATTATATATAACTAGATAAGGTTTTTATTAGAACTCCAGTATGGATACTGGGCTAGAACAATAATTAAATACCTAATTGATTCATCCAAAAATAATTGTTAAATACGGGTCTGTATTGGTGTTAAAAACTTACTTATGACAAGTTCTTCGGAATTATTTCATCGGTTTGGACAGAATAAAACTAAACATGTTTTAACCATTGTTTATAGAAGTCTTTAGGACGTCTTTAGGGATCAAAATAACTTTCCAAAACTCACAAAAACTTTAAAAATCGTATAAAAATTGCAAAAAATAACAACAATCACAAGACAACTAAATGTCAAATGTCACAATATTCTAAATAATGCGCAGACTCAAATCCTCCCCCGCATTTACGCTATCCTAAACGTTTTTGCTTGCTACCCGGGCAGCCATTTTCCTATCTCCCCTCTTCATGTCTATGGTCCGGACGCGTTTACCCTACATTTCTGAGCGCACCAGATGATTTTGATTTTGACAAGAAGTTTGTTTTGTGACATGTGCGCTATGCGATTGTGCGAAATCAGCTGAGTGAGCTGAATTGTGAATTAGTACATGCGTAAATTGTTGAATGCTGAAATTAGTGAAAGGAAAATTACAAGAAATAAAGGTATGTAAAAAATTACCATTTTGTCTTAGTGATTTAAAACAAAGAAATCGAGACTAATTAGGTAAAGTATATGCCAATGTACGTCAAATTTACTTAAATGATGGATGTTTGTCGTTTGTATTGAACACTTATTAAAGACTTTATTTTGTATACACATTCATATATGTATCTTAAAAAATCTGGTTCTTAGATAAAATTTTATATTTTTTTAAACATTTGTAAACCACAGAATGAAAAAAATAACTAGGAGAATAATTTTCGGTATTGTATAAGAAATCATTTTAAAATGAACAATGATGATAATTTCCTTACATTGAGTAAAGTTATTGATTTCATAATTTTTTAGAAATGACTTCGACATACGGAGATTGCTCAAAACCAAAAAAATCAAAGACTTCTGAAGAAGTTACTTTCACATCATTTTGGGCTCATTTACCATCTCTCTTATTACAAGACATTTTTGATCTACTTTGCAAAGAAGATAGAGGAAGTGCATCAGCTGTTTGCAAACACTGGAGACAAAACAGTTTTCACCCTAAGTAAGTAAAATTATTAAAATGTATGATATTAAGTAGGTACCTACCTAACTACATAAACTATTTTTCAGTTCCTATTTCCCAAAGATTTTCCATTTTTTTGATATAGATAGAAATTAGATATTTAAGTCTACTGGTTAATATCTTTCAGAATTTATGATTTAATGTGGCTGATAATGATATATGCATGGCAGATACCGATATACGCATGGCCGATACCAGTATATTGGCAATACATTTTTATTATGAATAATTCACTACAAAACTTAAGAAAAACTGACTGATTATGTCTCTTTAGAAAAAATCAAATCAGGTAAACCAAGAGGTTCAGAACAATTTCCCTGACAGCCTGACTCGATTTTTCATGGTTTATTTTGGAATACCTTTGAAGAACTTACTGATATGATAAATAAAATTAAAGGTGATCTTAAAATTTTCATGAAAGAGAAAATATCAAAAATGTAGATCTTTTAATTTTGGCGGTAAAAAAACATTTTTCTTCTATTATAAATATAAAGGTTCAATAATATGTTTAGCATCCCCACCATGTAGTGTGGCTAGTGAACATGTGAATGGCTATTCTCTTCAGCTGGTATTGTATAGGGCGATTCATTGAGGGTCCGGTCATATTAGATTATCTTGAAGTAGATTGCAAAAACAGGTCTATTTTTATTTTAAGATAAGCACCTTTCTATAATATCCTCAACTGTCATATGTCATTCCTCTTTCCTCCGTCACTTTCAGCAGTACAATTTAAATAGAGAAAGTACCAAGTATGACATCATCGAAAAGGTAATTTGATGGGGAATTCAGCAATATTGTTCATTGTGTTACTTTTCATTTTAACGCACTCTAGCAGGATTAAAAACTGTTACGTTTTGTAAATTGTGACATTTCATTTAAAAGCTAATTTTATTAGTAATCCCATGCACCACATAACATTAATCTAAATATTTCCATATTGCACTTGCAAATTAAGTTAGTAATAATGCAAAGATTTTTTTTAATTTTAAGTTGTTTTTTTGATTTAGTCAACATAATTTGTGAATAAGGAAAATTTCATGACCATAGTAGAATTTTTGTTTCCCTACTTTATCATGTTAAACCAAATTATTATTTCGAATATACCTACATACGCTGTGAAACAGAAAGATGGGGTTTCTGTTATTTTAAATTTTTTTATCTGTAATCGTCTCCCATGTTTTATTAAATGTTGACTGCACCAGAAGATGGAAAAATGTTCCGAAACATATGTAGTGCCTGTGCTTAAATTATAGAAAATAAAAACAATATGACCGAATAAACCAAGGACATTTATATAATATGTAGTGCATTGAATACTAATAAAATTAACTTTTAAATGAAGTGTCATGCATATTTCTGAATTTTCCATGAAACCACATTTTCGGTGATGTGTCATACTTGGTACTTTCCCTATTTAAATTGTATTGGTTACAGTGACGGAGAGGAGAGGAATGTCATATGACAGATGATGCTACTATAGAAAGGTATTCCCCCTTGAAATAAAAATCGACCTGTTTTTGAGTTTCTTTTAGAAAAAAATCTACTATAAGATATTCTGATATACGGCAGGTCGCTCCCTTTAATGAATTACCCCGTATATGAAAGCACAAGAAATCGTCTAACCTCAAAAAAAACAGAAAGTTTAATTTTGTTGCATTTTATCATACCAAAACTTCACTTGAAATATAAAAAAAAATGTTTTTAATCCAATTTTTGTGAAATTTTCAGGAAATACTAATAATAAAATACAAAGCCATATGTCACAAAATTCGAGCGACCGTTTCCCTTCGGAAAACAACTACTCCTTTGGCTAATACAGCAACAGGTATTTAATTATATCCAAAGGAAAGAGATAGAAATTTAATTTTAAACTATATCTTTAGATTTTGCTTACTAAGGAGAATATCATTCTTGGACCGGTTTCGTCCTTATTAGGACTCTTCAGTAAGAAATATATTCTCAATTCCAGTCTCTAATGGAATTAAGAAAGACACCAAATTCACTAAGAACAAACAAATAGGACTACGGTATAGGAACATGGGATGAAAACAGAGGAATGGGATTTATTTTGTCCAATTTTTAGAATTAAATAAAATTTAGATTAAATAAATCATTGCTCTTATGATTAAATAGCTGCTGTGCGGTAGAGTAGCCACAGCGAGTTTTAAACTAAGTACGAATATATCAATATTCCAACAAAATAAAAGCTAGGATAACCAAATGACCAGTTTTTCTATATTTATTGGTAAATAGTTTTTAGCTCTTTCATAATGGATAATTGTGATTTAGTGTAATCCATTATCACGTTTGATGCATTATTTTTTACACTTTCACTGGATATTAAAAACACTTATTATAACTTGAAATTAAACCAACAAATTTAACTCTAATTTAATGATGAGCACTCCTAAAATCCACTATTTTTATGTTGACGTATTTTTAGTAACTTCTTTTTTTACCACTACTAATCATATTTATCTCAAACATAACAAAATTAATTTGATTTTTTAAAGTGAGTTTTCAACAGGTGATAGATGAATTCAATTTGCACCAAATTTATTGTTTTTTATAGTATCAGTAATACTAAACAAATTTAGCTCACTTTATTTTATTCTTTTTTTAGTATTTAGGTTCAACTTCTATTAAGGAAGTCAAAGGTACCGAATCGACAAAAAAATATATTCTAGTATAGGACTTATTACATGTAAATAACATTAATTATTACTTCTTAGAAATATAATAGTAGTTTAGGTTATAAGCTGGTTACCTAGATCTTTACATGCGAACACGTATAGATCAGGTACAGGGCATATATCTTACAACGGTTTATGATATACTGCAATTTACTACGTTTTACAACCTAAAATCAAATAAAAAATTATCATTCGACAGCATCATGAGAAGTTTCCGAATGTGAATTAAAATAATGACAGTTCAGTTACAACTGACAGTTAACTCCATAAACAGAGGTTGGTTACGGTTACCACTGTATAACGTTGCAGTATATTGTATGATGTAGTCGAGGATTTTATTCGCCCTTACCAAAGAGCCTCTATGTGTTGGTTACACGGCTCCACGTATTCCCTCCAAAGGACCAGGTCCAATGGTCTGAGACCAAGGTAATGGGCAAACATAATAATAGAATCATAAATATTATTACCCCAGTTACATTAGAACGAATATAAAGCCATTTGTAACACATACAGGGTGGGGCATCCTATACGCATCGGTCCAGGCTATCACTTGATTTTTAAAAATTACTTAAGAGGTAGAAGGCATTTCTTATGCAAGCTAGTAGGTGGCATGCATCAAAAATACCTTTCGGCTAAACTATAGTTAAATTATATTATCTATAACTTGGCCACTATAGATTTTTTCAATTCGAGATTTAAAAGTAGTTGTTATGGCAACAGTTTCTCCGTAACTGATTTCAGCTAAACTAAAATGAAATTGAATCATCAATAACTTCAGTCGTTACCATGACAAGTGTGGAGGGAGAATTTATGTCAGAACCCACTAGCAAAAGAATTTCCATAGTTAATACAGACGTTTTCCAACAAAAAGTCTGTGTTTTGTCCCATGTAGTATGATATAAGTCGGAACGGACAGATAACTGAGAAAAGTCATAATAAAAACAAATGATTTCCTTACCGATATCTTTCATTTGGCATATATCTTACTCCTATTGAGGAGTAGGGCCAAACTGCCCTGTCTTCTTTGACATTTATATGTTTTTACTGTTTTTAGTTTTTTCTTAATTTGTTTACAGGTCATAAAAATAGTTTAAAGGCATGTAATAGGCCTGTTATTACTTTAGGAATATATTTAAAAAAAGTTTTTAACTATATAATTTAGATAAACAAAACGAACAAAACGCACTTAAAAAGTCTACTGTCACTGTAATGGTCAATGGAACCATAATTAGCGTATTTTCCTAATTTTTGAAAATAAAGGTACTCTTACATAAAATTCATATTTTTCGTCAACCTCATATATGACAGAAAAAAAATTTATTTAGATGCTTGTATTTTAGATTTTTGATTATGCAGAACTTTTGTGAACTATATTGCATTAAACTAATAATAAAAAAGTTTCCCATATGGTGCCGACTTACTGTATAAGCTGGAGACAAAATAAGGTAACTTAGTGAACACATATCCCAATGTTGTCTCAGGCACGGGCGAAAATTAAGTAGCAATTGGCAAGGCTTTTTGTACTTTTAACTTAGTGTTGTAATCTTGCTAACTATTTTCGATTTATGTAATAAATATTGGGCTCACAAAAACACGCCTCCACTCTGCGAGGCTTTACAAAATAGTAACATACCCCTAAACAACTTATTTCATGGTTTAAACAGTGTAATATCACCTGGCGCTATATAACTATCTTAATCGGAGTTAGGTTGGTTCTCTCTTGTTACCCCAAACATTGGTTTAGAACATTTAAAAAACGACGACCTCTGTGTACACTGCGAGCAAACTGGTGATCTCAATCATATTATATAATAAACTGGCTAATAACATCTCTGCGCCGCTTAGTATTGAAACAATTCTGTCAGACTTTAACGGCAACATAGTTATGTCTTTAGTCGAATTCTTAAAACATATTGCAATTCGTCTATAAGTGAAATCAGATTTAGCTTGTGTTTTATAAAAAAAAGTCCTGATGGCCCCTGAACGAGAAGGTAATCAATATGGTTACTCCATTTTAAATGTTGGTCAATGATTATTCCCAAGTACTTGATCTCATGTGTTTCTTTGATTGCCTCATTCATACCTTTAATTTTGATATTAGTAAAGCAAGGTCTATTTGCATCTGTAAGACTAAAAGCAATATAGCGAGTTTTATTTATATTTAGTGATAGTTGATACAAATTTAACCAATTTATAATCTTTGCCAGTCCTTCCTCAACCGACAATTTGGTCTCTGCCCATGTTTTCCCACAAAATAATACAACTGTGTCATCAGCATATGACACAGTGGTTGAACCTATAATTATAATTTTATATTTTTTCTAGGTGGTTTCCATCAATAACATTTAGACTTGAGCAATGTAATTTAGAAAGAGCACGATTTCAAATATTCACGTTTGGAAGAATTTCATCAGAAGTGAAAATAATTATAAACTCTTTGTCATCCGAATGTGTAGAAGATTTTGTTAATTTGTTAAGAGAGATGCAAAAGAATAACAATTTAAAAAGTATTATATTGGAACCAACTCACTGTCGTCTTGAGTTACCAGTACAACAAAATAGCAATAGGTAAGGACATTTATATTAGGGCTATACTTTGTTGATTTTGAAGAACTAGTTCAGGTGAATACACTGATATAATGCTGATACACTATTTTTGGTAGGTACTGAATGTTTAGTTATTTCATATGATAACGGTATAGGCATATTTTAATAAATTCTCTCAAAGTTATTCCTCAGAAGTTGTGTTTATACAGGGTGTTAGTATATTCGACTGGCAACGCTCTACCCCAGAGAGCTCTCCTTAATTGATGAATTTTGATATATAGGAACATGAACCCTTAAAGGGCTTTGTTACCGAGATATAGGATGTTAAAAGTTTGAAACCAAAATTCAAAATTTGTCCCAAATCATTTAAATATTTTTGTTTCAATCTTGGTAACCAATATATTCTTTAAGAAATTAATATTTGACAAAGACTAACATTTGAAAAATTTAACCAGTAGCGCGCTATTGAGGTTAGTGTCAACTTTTTCTCCCTTTTTTTTACTTCACTAGAACATTTTTTTTATATTTTTTTTTAATTCTGTTTATTTTTAGTTAAAAAGGTAAAAAAAAACCTTGCATGGACTTTTTGATATATGGCAAATTTTGAATTTTCATTTAAGACTTTTAACACCCTGTATCTCGGTAACTAAGCTGTTTAAGAAGGCTTCATGTTATAATATATAAATTCGAAAAGGTTTGTTAACTGCTGAAATTTGATAAGTACCATTTTGTGGCATTTTTTTTTAAATTGTACCTATATATAGTTTTAAGCGCAAAATAAAACACATTTAACAGATTTTTTTATTATTGTAATACAAGTATAAAGGGAGATTTGGGAATGTACATGGTATTACCTCATCCTTTAATTTCAGCTTTCCCTTTTTATTTTGCTAATAGTACTATCAGTAAAAATAGTCTCATAATATTTGATATCTTCTAAAAAGTATAGAACAGCATCATCTCTAGAAAGTGCTTTATCGGCACTAGGAATGATATATATGCTGCCACTGTTCTAAGCGTTTAGTATCCTATAAAAAACATTTACAATGACAAAATTGGGGTTCAACAAAAAAAAAAATACAGTCGCAACTCTTTATCTAACATTAAAAATAAATTTTCTTGTCTAGTAAGTTAAATTTAATGTATAATTATTGTTGTTTATAACTCAGGATCTATGACTGTAAAATTTTATATTATAGTAACTTAAAATAAACTACACTCCGTAAGTTACATATTGTGACTAGTTTACAATAAATATTATATTTAGACATAAATACATTATTTTACTTGCATTAGAAGCTTTAAAAAGACATTGAATTGATTTCTTCTTGTTTTCTTTAGTTTTACATTTGATTTGTATCCTGTTTTACAATCTGGAGCGACGTAAATCTTGCTTTGATATTTTTTGTTACTCATGTTATTTGTACTCGGTTATTTTTTTTTCACATTATTTTGATTATTTTCACCAATTTTTAAAAAAAATCACTTCATTTTACATTGACTTACATAGAAAATTGACACCGCTTTTATTTGACATACCAACTGCAGTCAATTTCGCGAACTTCATAAAAAGGACGGAAATTTGACCATTGACGATTCAACTCCTTCTCTCTGGTCTTCATAGTTCAGTGTGATGTCATTTTGGTTCCACTGACATTTAATTCTAACCAAACTTTTAACAAAAACATCAATATATTTGACATATACGTTTTTACTGTTTTTAGTTTATTTCTAAATAAAGATATGTAATTGGTAACTAAACGATTGTATATTTGATGCTTGTTATCTACTTACTTTAGGAATATATTTATAAAAGTGAAAAAACGATATAATTTAGGTAAACAAACCGCACTCAAAAAATCTACTGTCACTTTAATTATCAGTGGAACCATAATTTACATCATCACTAAACTGGGTTATTATAATTTACAATCTTCTTTTTCATTTCTACTTGTCTTCGGTAATGTATTTTTATAGTTACAATTGCAAATTATTACAAAAGGGTATTTGAAGGTTGAAGTGCACTTAAATGCCAAAATAATAAAGAATAACAGGGTTTTTCTTGTCATTAATAAATCTATTTTTTCTAAAATCTTTTACGATTCACTCAAGAAAATTACCTTAAAAAATTCCATCATGTTCAGTCAATTTCTTCATTTCAAGTAAGGACAATTTAAAAATATTACTATTTTTAAACCACTCATGCTTACCTGAACAGTTTGGATTATACAGGGTGTAACTAAATAAGTGTAAAACATTTAAGGGGGTGATTCATCTTTGAAAAAAAGATCTTTCATATAAAGAAATTTCATTGGAGCATCCCTTGTTAAGATACAGCCCCTTAAATGGGGTACATAAAATTTGTTGTCTGAAGGTAGACATATTGAACATTTACTATGATTTCTACATGTTGTATGTTTTGTTATTAATAAATTAGTTTTGATTATTCCCCTTTTTAATCATTTATGCAGGTAGTAACTACAAAATAACAAATCCAGTTCGCATTTATGACGATGTATCTATAGGCGAGTTCGGATAGACAGGGGCTGGAGCGGGACAAATTTTAGGGTGCTTTTAAATGACATTTAAGCGTGTTAAACTGTCACTAATCGGACTAAACCGAACGATAAAAGGGTCGTTTGGAGTTAAAAGTGTTAAAAGAGTTAAAGGAACTTGGCAGACCGAACGCAATGTCTGTAGTTGTTCGTACAATAATTTTTTGCTGCGAACTGGTTTATTTTGGGCAAAAAATTCAAGAAAAATTTTTTGTTTAGAATGAAACAAGCTATCGGAAATAAAATTTTAAATGGTAAACAAATAATAAGACAAAAAGTTACGTTGGAACGAAATTTTAGGGGTTGCGTTTTCCACCCCTTACAACCATGGGGTAAACCAAATAAATTACTGGCTAAGTGTCTTTTTGGTAGTAGAAAATGACAGGTTAATTTCAATATTGTAACTTGTTTAGTGCTTGTGAAAAAAATTGTTAAACAAATTTTTTGTACCCCCTTTAAGGGGCTGTATCTTAACAAGGAATGCTCCAATGAAGTTTCTTTATATGAAAGATCTTTTTTTCGATGAGGAATCACCCCGTTAAATGTTTTACACTTATTTAGTTACACCCTGTATATGGAACAAATCTACTGACGGATTTTTTTGTGACTTTAACAAAAAGTAAAATTGAAATGCATGCATGCGCCGAATTGTAAAGGAATCCTATCTCAAAATGACATTTATTACTTTTTACTGAAATTTATTACGTTTTAGGATGCCTATTACGATTTTTTTTGCCCAAAAACAACACTGGAAATAAACCAGTTTCTGTTTTGGTTTAGAAAAGATTAAATGAGTTGAGGTTGGGTGGAACATTTTTTTTTATATTGTGGTTAGATTTTGGATTGAAAGTTGAGGGTTGATTAATACTTGAGTTTTACACTGTTAATTTTTATTCACTTTTATATAATGGTATCAAATTAAGAATAGGACATAAATGACTCAAGATTCTTGTGTTTAAAATGAGAGAATAAACAAAAATAAAAAATGCTTGGATAAAATGTCATGAAATACAGGATGTTAAGTTGAAAAATAAAAAATTAATAATGGGTAAATATATAGGTAGTTATAATTTTATCATTCAATAAAATTTTACTAAAATCGGCACTGACAAAATTTTATTAACAGATTTTAACATTAGCTGATCCAACTCCTTTTTTCCAAAAACAATCGTGTCTTGGGTACCTTCATCTCCTTACCATGGTCAATTTGAATAATTGGTTCATTTTGCTTTGGCTGCACTATATTGTAGAGAATTATTCAGAGGGTTTCTAATTAATTCTTGTAATGTGGTTTTGCTAAGATCAAGTTTAATAATTTATTTCTTATGACAATTCTCATATCCAGTCAAAGTATACCATTTCTCTGGAGACCTCTACAAGACATCCTCTTACAAGAGGATCTATTACATACAATACTTGTTTATAAATGTATGCATTATTTTCTTTATGTTACATACCTGTAATTATACACTGACCTGTCAAATAGCTAGTTAAACCCGAGAATAACGATCAAGGAGAAGCGACAGCTTGGTGTTTTTAGCGTACCGTTTTGTAACGCGCATGTGCGAAAATAAGTTGTGTATCACTCAAAATGATGTTATCTGTCAAAGTCAGTCCAAGTTGTTTTTAGTACGTGAGCAATGTCAAGTGATATTTTTTGGTGTTTGTTTTGTGTAGTAATAAGATGAAGATTTTACACACTTAGGTATAAAATGTGCCAAAAAAGTAACTAGGAAACTAAGAATTTTATCACATGCATAAATATTAAGTATAATGATTTAATCATTTTTGATATTTTATTTTTCATATGTAGGTATTGTATTTTGTGAAATATATGTTTTCTTCTTTTAAATAAATTTAATAAACAATGAACTGGAGATTTTATTTTATTTTGAAATTATATTTAAAAAAAATATAATAAATCCGCGTGTTTCAATTAGGATTGATCAAAATGGGCGAAATCCCTTTATTATGGCTAAATTGTAGGGTACAATTATATCAATATAAAGATGTTTTGCCCATTCATATTTACATTTATTAAATGAATCATACTGGAGTTGATTTTGGAAATATTGGTGCATACTTAAATAAGTAGTATTTCAAAAAATTCGTCTATGCCCAGACAGCACACATAGTCCAATATACGTCCACTTTAGATCTATTTGAGGGTCAGGACGTCCATATCCGGGCATCCAGTGTACGTCCGTTTATGCTAATTAAATTGACAGCTGAATATTGATACCCAGAGAACGTCTGTTTTTGGACTTAATTTTAAGTTTAGCAGTATTTTGACGTCCAGTGGTCGTCCATCTCAGGTCATTATTTATTAAGCCTACCAGATAATACTCATCTATAATATATACTTCTTTTTTTAATAGAACTGGTCATTAAAAATTGACAAATTGAATCTATTGCATTTCATTCTATCAGTGGAAGTTTGAAATCTTATTCAATTATAACTGTATCTAGTAAAAAGTTTTCAAGTGGTTCCTTGGTCGAGCTGGTCTAGCAATTGAAAGCGTACAACGATAATGGGTGTGTCGTGAGTTCGATACCTGCTCAGGTCAAGCAATTTTTAATAAAAAAAAAATAAATGGTGTATAGCGGTTTGCGAAAATAATAAACAAATTATTAATAATATAAAATAGTATGTGGTAAGTTGCGGTTCTGTAAAAAAAGTGGGGATGTGGTCTCAATGGAAATATAATCCTGGACGTTTTTTGAATGTCCAGTATTCGACGTCCAAATATATTCCAGAATTGAACGTCCTCTGAATGGTTAAAAGTGTGCCATTTGTATACTTCACTGGACGTCCATTGGATGTCGGAAGTCCAGAAAAAACTCATTTTTGGACGTCTAGACATCCAAAATTGTATATCGAATGGACGTCCAATGGACATATTTGTATTGTCTGGGTGATAGCCAGGCCAGGTATTTAACTCTAAATACATAAACCTTAAATGACATCTGGCTTAACTTGGCGAGAAAACACTTGTTTATACAGAAATGGGTGATAAACTTAAAAGTCCTTTTAATATAATATAAATCCAGAAATTCTAAAAATATGTAAGTACTTTTTAAACCTAAAAGTTTGGAAAATATAGGCACATTGCAAATATTTGGTAATATACCACTTCGACCGTTCTCACTTCGGCCGTTTTGAAAAATCTACCTCTTTTTGTCCCATTTCGGCCGCTTGTCCTTTTCATGCGTTTCAGGCAATTTTGGGAGCAGAGTTAATTATAAAAAAATATTCAAGTCGTTCAATTTAAGACAAAAAATATTTGGAAATGTTTCATTACCGAAACAGATCTGAAATTGTGTTGCCACCACAATTAGCGGACAACTTTTTAGTTATAGAAGACGGTGTTGAAGATGAAATGTTAATATTTATTAACGTATGTGAATCTTTATTAAAATATGTGAAGTATTTTTTGGAGACGGAGCATTTAAGAGCTGTTCTTTATTATTTTGTGAATCTTTATTAAAATATGTGAAATATTTTTTGGAGACTGAGCATTTAAGAGCTGTTCTTTATTATTTTTTCAATTGTACACTATACATGCAGATGTAAAAAGTACCGAGGATAGTACTTCTATTATTCCAGTAATTTTTGCTCTTTTGCCGAATAAGGAAGAAAAAACCTATATAAGACTTTTTTCCTTGCTTGTTTCAAAGTTTAAAAATTTTTCACCGAAAGTATTTAAATTGGATTTTGAAGTAGCTACCATAAATGCAATAAGATATGTATTTCCCAAAACTGTCATTCATGGATGCAATTTTCACTTTAATCAGGCCATATGGTCCAAAGTTCAAGATTTAGATTTAGTATTATCATATCGTAATCAAAGTGAAGTACGAAATCATATTAGAATGTGTGCTGCTCTGGCTCATTTACCCGAAGAAAATATCGATGAGGGATGGCTGATTATAATGGAAACTTCATCTATGAATGATCTAGTTATTAAATTTAATGATTATTTTACTTCACAATGGTTAGATAATCCAATTATCCAAAATATTTGGATATGTTCGGGGTACAGACATCGGACTACAAACGCAGTGGAAGGATGGCATAGTAAATTAAATAAAAAAATTGGGAAAAGTCATCCAAACATTTTCGAGTTAATAACTGTATTGAAAGAGGAGGCTGCTTTAAATATAATTAAATTACAAAAAATAAATCTAAAAAGATTAAAAAAATACGCTGATATTGATATTAGAATTAAAAAAACAATAAATGATTTAAGGGACAAAAATATTGACTTAAAAAATGCGTTGAACAAATTCATGTACATTACTAAATTTGAGTAAAATTGTGTTGTCATACTGCGTATTATCTATTGATTTTTTATTGTATCATTGGATTGTTTTTTCTAAAAAATATTGTAATAAAGAATTTAAGTTTATTAAATTTGTTTTTGTTTTAACTGTTTGTATATTATGCTAAAAAATTAACAAGTTTACAATATATAAACAAACGGCCGATATTATTTAAGTAATCTTAATCTACATATCCCAAAAAGGTTGACCGGCCGAAATGTAACTCTAATCTTAATTTAAATATGCCAAAAAGGGCGACCGGCCGAAATGCAACATTTTTATTTAACGGCCGATATGGGAACGGCCGAAGTGGTACTAAACCCAAATATTTAATTAAATCTCTCAAACTTAATGTCTTTTTTATTGTTACCTAAATTTTTTTTGGCACCCTTAATTTTATTTACCTTATTTTTACTTAAGGAAAAGGTAATTTAATTTAAAAATGGGGCTTTTATTACATTTTTAACAATAAATAAACCAAATATTGAACAAATTTTATAGATAAATTATAAAATAATAAACGTCTTTTACTTTTATAACAAATAATTAATTATTACATAATGAATTATATTTTGGTGCCGAAATTTCACCATTGCTATTAACCCTAACTACTTCAATGTAATTAAATCACATTACAACATTTGCGCATGGACTATAACAATGATTTCAGATAATTTGCCAAACTATTTCGCTCAGTGTAGAAAATATGCATGTTTTCTCAGCGTGCTAAGTTGTGTATCAATCAAAGTCATGCTTTGAAAAAGGTACATCCGATATCAAAGGCACCGACAGCTACTGTCGCTTCTCCTTGATCGTTATTCTCGGGTTAAACTAGATTAATAAAGGTTTGATTTCATAGTCATAGAAATCTTGAAAACATTTTTTCCAATTGTCTCTTCAATAATCGAATCTAGAAATATTTAAGTTCTTTTTATTTTGTGTTTAAGATCTAATGGTGACTATGAAGAAATATTGGCATTGCTAAAATCTTGTTCACCAAAACTTCATAAATTCAGCATCGGTTGTCTCGAAGACCTTTCCCTTCAACTCGAAGATATATTAGAAAACTTAAATCCTGCCCTAATAACTCATCTAGGATTAGCTTCAGTAAAAGACATTCCAATAAAACAAGGAGGAAGTTATTTCGACACTAATTTATTAATTCCTTTCACAAAATTAAGGGTAAGATAAAATTTATTTTACTATAAATAAGTTTTTAATGTACGAGTACCATATATGAATTCTAGTTCTCCCTGATAAAAGTTCGAAATCTATTCTGACTAATTCTTATATATTAAAAAAAAATGAAAGGAGTTGATTTTGTGTCACTTGTGGTGCTGAATTTGTAGTAGAAAAGTTTAAATACATAGATCTGTTGATATTTGATTAGCTTGATCGGGATCCATAAGAAAGTTGCTTTTTTTGACAACAATTAATTAAAATTTAAAGAAAACCGAAAGAAACCCAAAATCAATGTATTAGGTGCGAATATCTTTGTATTTTGTTCCCATTTGACCAATTTTATTACTTTAAACTACCTAATCCAAATTTTAAAAAATATATAGATATAACTATAAATAAACATTTCAGATTTTAAGTATAGATTATGATCAGTTGTCCGACGATTTTTTGTCAAAATTGGATGGTGCTACCAGATTGGAAAGATTAGTTGTACACCTCCACGAAATCCGTCAAAATCATCCTGGAACTACGAACAATGCTTGGATCAATTTTAATAAAAAACATCAAGGCTGTGAATTCCGTTTAACAGTGATACATGCTTTTAAAGATATAAGCAACCTCCATGAGACAGTATTGAGGCATAATATGCCACTAACGCATCTTAAAGTGTTTTTCTGTGAACAGGTAAAGGGTGCTTAATTTATTTTTATAGATTTTTTATTATTTAATCCTATAAATACCTTGAGGTATAATCACATCTTCAACAACTCATTCATAAATATCATTTTTAAGCGTGCTAACATTAAACATTGGCAAGGGATAGTCAGGGTGAGGGAAGAGGTATGAGGTGAGTGAAAATGGCCAATATTGTCCAGATGTAGACATCGCTTTCTGTATTGTTTAAATGTAAAATGGATGAAACAAAAAGTTACTAGATTTTGGCATGTCGTAGATTAATTACATCATGTTATTATGTCAGGTGGTAGTTATCAAAATAATTTTGAATTTGTCAATTTGTTAAAAATTTGTATATTTTGATATTTCAGTTTTTATAAGTTTTCAACAAAATGGTGAAGCAATTTAGTGATCAATCAAAAACTTTAACCCAAACGTAGTTTCCTATTTTAAAAGACAAATATATTTGTGGGGCTCTCGGAAAGAGGTACAATCAAACAGCTGCAGTGGGATTAAATATTTCGCAGAACATTGTCTATAGGCTTAATAAACCAACAAATTCTGATACAGAGTATGTGAAAATAATGTCTAAAAAAGTTAGCCAAAGTAAAACAAAAGTCGATTCTTTGATATTAAGTAAGTTGAGGCAAGTTATATATAAGATGTAGGAAGGTGTGCAACATATAACAATGAAATCTTTACATAAACGACATCTCCTCTTTATTTTATCTCAATGCCTAAAATTAATCAATTCTACTCACTGATGTATTGACCTGTTTTCCCTTACCTCGCTCTATGTTTAGTGTATATTATTTACAATATTTTTACTGTTCATACAATGTTTGTGTTTTTTGTAAATGCAAATTTTAGCCAAATTTATTAACGTTTTAGGTAAATCTGCAAGTTGTTGAAAATCTCTCTGACTATGCTGATACATTACGCAGCATAATTTGGGTAGATTCATTAAGCAATAGTCAGAACAGTTGGGTATTGGTTAAACCATGGTTTGATGAGAGTCCAGATCCGTTTGTGTTAACTGCATGGCTGTGTAGAAATCTGGAAGAATTTGTTTTGTATGGCTACAAATATTGGGAGGAAAATTTGATTGCTATAGGAAGATTGCGTGGTGAATCTTTGAAAAGAATGGAAATTGCAGAAACAGATGTTCTTTGCCCAAGTAGACGACCCAGAGAAATAACCACATCTGTGAGTAAATTTTAAAATGTGTTAAATTAACAGGAATATGCGTAATATGATGCAAAAATATTTGTTGACAATTTAGTTTCTTTGTAAATTTGTAAAAAATTGACAAATCTGGCTACAGTGTTAATGGAGAATTATCATATATTTTTGTTACTGGATCTTCAACAATACCGAAAACCCACGTGACCAAATCGTCATGACAGCGATTTCTGAAAATAAAAGTGAAAATCCCTAGATGTGAGCCAGTGCCGGGTATTTTATTACAAAATAGATCCTATTTTTTTTTTAATTGAGTGATCTGTAATTTTCCATAGGTAGGTTTAACAAAATTAAGGTAAAATGATTGTTGCAGTAACAAAACTGTATAGGGGATGCATTATCAGAAATGTTTTCAATACTTTATAGCTAGTTCGTATCGACAACTAAAAAAATATGTTTTGAATTTCACTCGCCAGAGTCAGTCTTTGAAACACCGTTCATACCTGTTTGAGATGCTGTTTTTTATTATTAATTTATTGGGAATTCACACCATGTTCATTTTGCACATCTTCAACAGCTTTTGTTATTATTGTGGGTCTTAGAGCTTTTTATAATTTTGAACAAGTATTTGTTTATGAGGACAAAAAGAATCACATTCCATTTATTCACCTGAAAAATGTTCATCAAATTTTCGGATACAATTACGAATATAAAATAATTTTGTTCCTGTCTAACATTACCTGAAATAAATTATATACAGTCATTAACTTTTACGAGTTACAGTAAATAAATTTGTACTTACCAACAAAAAAGAATTAAGCCACCAATAATCTCTAAAAATAACTAATTGCCTTATTAATATTAAATGAAAAATGGAATAAAGGCGTTTATAAAATGTAAACAAATATAATATAAATATTGTCAGTCCCCAAATCAACGCTAGTGTGATATCTGACAGGTCAGTTTAGTTCCTTTTACGTCAAATCAGGCCCTTTCGATGGGTTTTTGATGGTTATAAGATCACGTGGGTTTCGGGTATTGTTGAAAGACCTGGTACAATTATTTGATTACAAATTAAAAAAAACTGCTTATTGCAACAGCAACGGTTGAATGTTTACGAGATCGTTTTCTAGAAGGTGATAAAAACATTGGTATCTGCAGTGGAATTCTCATCTTTCGTACTCGGGATATGCTGAGAAGCTCACTATTCGCTAGAAAATAATTGATTCTTATGTTAAATGGAGTTGGGTGTCGATCTAGACGTGAAAATAAGGCTGCCTTGGCGTTTTATGTTTTTTGGTTGTTGTTATGTATAAGCTAATGTATAAAATTTTTGTCATCTCTATTAAATTAGACGTTTAGAATACATATTAAGTTATTTTAAAATACAGTAAAATGAGTGGAAGACACTTGTGTGCCTTAATGCAAACCTGGTATAATTATTTAATGAAAAAATGGCATTCTGTTACATTTCATCGGTTTCCTAAAACCGGTAGATGTAAGGTAATTTTGTAATATAAAAGTGGAAAATCTGAACTTGTGGATGCAAGAAGAGTATGCTTCAAAACTTGAAAATAGGGAAGCAAAATTTATGAAAGGAAAATTTGTTCTCAGCATTTTAAAGATTTATAGGTACTTATAAAGGTAATACCTAGGTATATTTTTCATTTAATGTTTATTTAATTTTTTTATGTTGCAGCTGCCGCATCTCAAATAAAAAGAAACTCTCCTTTAAAACTGCCAGTTGTTAAGGAACATTCTTATGACTGTTCCATCTACTTCAAAATCTAACAGACTAATAAAAATAACTCAAAATAAAAAAAAAATCCCAATCAGTTTGAATGTAATAATTAGAACACACCTGCTCAATATTATTAAGTCCCCTTGAATCAAATATTGAAGATGTTTCTTCTGATTCAGACAAAACTTTAATATCTTCAAAACTTTCAGGAGGTTCCGAAGGAGGGTTTTAGGTTATACACCTTCGAACTTATAGTAGGCCCATTTTAAATTTCTTAAATGGGACAATGTCAGAAATTGCTGCTGCATCTTGAAGATCCGGTGTATTTTTACGAAATAGAGATAAAAAACGCCTCTAGTAGGTTATTTTCCAGTCAACTTTTTAGAAGACATTATTTTTGTTTTCTTTTTTTGTAGAATCAGTGAGCTGGCTCTTGTGTGGTGAATAACAAGAACTTTGCAGACATTTGTGTGGTACTACCCACTTCTTATATGTAAAGGTTTATCCATCATTTAAAAAAGGAAGTTTTCAAAATCATCTGATATCTAAAAAAAAAAGAAAACATGGTAGATAATTGAAGTCTAATAAATTACAATAGAACATTTTCATTTTAATAAAGAGTATAGATACAAACCTTAAAATAATTTAGCTGTTGCTTGAAGCATTTCTGTGTAATAATAATAATAATTTTCTTCTTTTCATATATTTGGGAACACAAATAAATATTTTTAATAATAATGTAAAATAATGTAAAATGTAAATTATTATCACATCTTGGGAGGAAACATTTTTTCGTACTCATATTTTTTTATAAAAACGAAAATTAAGTAATTATCTATTGACACAAGATTTCAAGTTAAAAATCGATTCTCCACACCTAAAGATCAAACGAGTGCAACTGACATTTAAGATCGATATATATCCCTTCTCGATATCCGAGATAGGAATCGCAAAATCTTTCTCGTTACAACACGTGCCGAGAACGAAAGATAAGAATCTCACTGCTGGTGCATGATTTACAAAGAAACAAATGAACACAATAACTCTCACAAAATAAGTCCAAATAATAAATAGTCAAAGATCGCATAGAAATCGGTCCGCTTTGAACTGGTAAATAAAACACTCACCTAGTACTTGGCTCCTCATCTATTGTTGACGATCTTCAGACGGCAATCGGATACTCATTTTGGGCTAATGTGGATTATGATTACTGTATCTCTTTGGAATGGCGACTATAGTTGATTTTATTGTTGTATACATTTATTTATTTTGTAACAATTTTTTTTTTTGATCTGCTATAAATTTATATATTTATTAATAAAGTGTTCTATGCATCTAGATCCATAATTTCTCCTAGTAATGGTAGCCAGAAAGTTGTCTTTGCCATATTGCTCCATGTGGAATTATTCATTAATTTTGTTTCTTAATAAAATGAGTTGCAATCCTTCACAAAATACAATTAATTTTAATACCCTATTTATACTAATTTTAATGCCGCTCTTTAATATCCTGTTTATAGTGTACGAATATTTTCTATTTATTTTAGGATAATATATTAGAGTGTCCGAGTAAACCATGGAAACCTGTAAAACGATCGGAACTTCATCCAGTTGTATGCAATCCTACAGATGGCGATTCAGATGAATATTTGTTGCCACTAGTATTAGCAGACCTCCACTAGTTAAGTACAACGTTTTTATAAATAAAACTTCAAACATCTATTTAGCCAAGCACCTAATTACATTTTTTTATTTGTTTTTGCTCTCTCTTCAATTGAAAACTTTTTGAAACGACTAAAAAGTTTTATAGGGAACAAAACAATTATTATTTGTTAACAAATTTTATGTAACGTGTGCTTAGATAAACTAAAATCTAGAGCTAAATTTTTGAATTAAAAAAATAACGATATTTTAAAATATATGTTAAACTGTTTATCCTTTCAATTTTTGCTTATAATTCACCAGTAAAATATCATAGTTTGCTTGTGAGACATTAACCCTTTGCAAATGAGACTTTTAAAGCTCTTAATAGAATTGCTATAATTTTTTTAATAATTTCATCATACTTTTTATTGTAACATATACAATTTAAAGTATGATAAATGTATGATTTCTATAATACTTAAAATAGCAGTGGCACATTCGAAAAACTATTCTGGTGCAATTCGTCGTTGCCGCGGTGAAACCTCCTATGTGATATTTTGTCACATTTTTAGATTTTTGTACCAGTTCATAGAAACTAACATTCTGTACAGTTTAGCGAAACCTCTCATGTAATTTTCTTTTAAAATATTGTGATTTTAGACCTCCCTTGGGCGTAATACTTATAAGGCATCAGAACAAAATTGTTACGTTTTTATAACTACTGAAAATTTTGATGAAATGTACATAGGAGGTTTCACCGCGACAACGACGAATTGTTGGTTTATCTTGTCGGGTAAGTTGAACTGATTATAAAAGTGCGAGGTGTCGATTGTTACCATAATCCTCCATTATTTGATCTGCAAAAATTTAAACAAATAGGCATTTTACTGTAACTCTACTTCATTTGTTGTAAATGTTTAATAGTGAACCATGAAAAAATATATTTAAAAATTATGCTTTATAGTAATGTTCAAACAAGTGTTAATAATTAATGTGTTCGTTTTAACTATAGCTCTCTCTCACTTGCACACACTAGATCTCTCATGGAATTATTTACTTAAGAAAGCCTAGAGGATATGGCTTTGTTTTAAAAAGATTTAAGCAAACTTTTATTTTTTAAAAGGATTATCCAAATAAATGTATAGTTTATCCTTAAAAATATATATATGAAATGCTTTTTGATGCGAACACAAGCAAAGTTTTAGTGATTATTTTAAAAGGATAAATAAGTCACGTGTTGTTTTAAGTTAGCTCTAGATTTGGTGTTTGTCAAAATTGTAGTGAATGAATGATATCAAAAAGTGGATGTTATTATATGTGTTAGAATAAGCAGAAAGAGGTGATATAAAAAACTTTGCACATTCCAACAAAAAATCCATCGTGCAAAGTCTGACTATTTTCATTGATTAATGAAAAAAAAAAAAAACAAATAGAGATAAGAAGATAAACATCTGTGATATTGAAACACTTAAATGAAAAGCAAACGTAACAACGATCGATGAGCTCTTTTAAACATTGAGAATTGTTGCCAATGTAACAACTTCAAATGACAGTTTGAAGAAAAACAAAAATGCTTTTCTTTTGACCAAAAGATAGGTAACAAAGCAGCCTATTCTTATGATCTGTTTTTGTGATGAATTTTTAAAAATGATTTGTTTAAGTCAAATTTTATTTTTTAGTTTATAAAATCCTCATGCAATATACCCAAAATAGTTCCTATAACAACATTGCATGTGTTGCAATATGAGTTGGTTATGTAATAATGCAGAATAATATTTATTGTTTTAATTTGAATTTAATTGTTGTAAAAGTGAAGGAGAAAAGGATATTGTTATGAAACAAACCCACAAATTATGGAATAGCAATTCTTTGACATAATGTCTTGGAACAAACAGTGATATTTTGATTACATGTCCTTTAAATTATGCTTTACCCAACAATCATTTTATGTTGTTCACTTTTTACTAATAAACATCTATAACCCATTTTTTTCCAAAATTTTTGAAATTGTACAAAAATACATTGACTCGATGAAATTGATTATAAATTATGAACATATTAATAATGGCTACAAAGTTTCCACCCTCTATCACTCTACTCCATCTTTAGAATCCCTAGGGCTCAAGTGTATTGACACTAGATTTAGAGACTTATCGCGCCACCATTTTGTTCACGTTTTTTTATTTTAAAAATGTGAGATCATTTAAAAGTTATTTCACAAAAATCAGATCTTAAATTGTGTAGCTAATAAAATCGGTCCACGGTTTCTTTTTTTTTTTTTTAATGACTAATTTTATAAATTTTTTGTTAAAATTTATAGTGTTGCTAACATGTTAGGATGAGTCTACTTGGCAACTACTACATTTAATATTTATAAAATGTAGTGGATTATTTTAACCTATTACAAAAAAAAAATGTTATATACACTATAGTTTAGCATATCCCTAACCTTTTACTGAATATTTAATTTGAAACAAAAATGTACTCTAAATAAAAACTAAACTTACTTACTTTTTAAATACAAAACAAACGCTAAATTGTAAATTGATAAAGTAATAAAAATCGCTCAATGAAAATTCAAATTTGACACATTTAGTGGTTGTATAGACAGAAACGGTAATGACGGAATATGACTTGAAGAATAACAGTGACGGTTTCAACTCACCAAAAAAAGTCTAACATTGATCAGGGTAGTAATAAAAATACGCTAGGTTTGCTAGTGTATTTACGGAAAAATGGCTGTTCATTTTTAACCTGACAAGTGAAAAATACAACTGGAGTCCAATTTTAAACAAATATTATTATTATTATTATTAATAAATGTCTTTATTTTAAATATCTTCGGGCGAAGTTCACCCTAGCTGTTCCACTCAACCTTGTACCAAATACAAGCACTTCATTAATAAAAATAGTCATTGTAACTTAATAAATTAGTATTATTCTTTAAAATTAGACTATTAGACTCGCTAACAAGTCGTAAAAGAAATTTTATAAAACAGTCTCTAAAATCGTGCAGAAGCCATCACAAATTGAGTTTACTGATATTTTCATAGATCCCATCATCAGATCTTTAGCAAATGTTTACGGGACCACTCCTGGAGTACCCTCTTTCTAACAAAATAATAAAAGAATCATAGATATCGGACAACGTGGTAAAGAATACATAAAAAAAAATATTCAGACGAATTGAGAACCTCCTGCTTTTTAGATGTCTGTTAATAAAATGATATATTAATCCATGACGTGACGTAAATGTTTTAAAACATGTGTGTTTGCAAAGCAATATTGCATTCTACTAATTGGAAAACACTATAATATTTGATGAAACTCTAAGCCTAAATTTATGACAGGTTCATAAGTTGGATAAGAATACACGAAAGTCAGGTAAAATCCTTGAAGTTGGGAACACTGTCGTAATTACACTAGCGAACCTAGCTGATATTTACTGACAACCCTGATCAATTTTAGTCACGTTTTATTTTGTTTAAAGGGGAGTTACACTGTATAATATGATTGTCGTGTGTGGACCTAGAAACTTTTTTTTTTTTAATTAAAATAAATCTTAGAAATACTCAAAATTTAATAAATTATACATAGTAAGTCGGTCTTTAAATAGTACGAGATATCACGTAACGTCATACCGCCTGAGTATTACATTTGAGTTGGTAAAATAAATTCAAAAAATAAAAGTTTTTAAGAAAGCCCGAAAATCAAAAGTTCGATTGGAAAATTTTTCTAAAGTACAAAAGGTCGAATGACGAAAGTGAGAAAACATCTTAAACCAAAAAAGATCGAAACTAGAACAAATGAGCGAAATTGCATATTATCGAACTTACAAATGATCAAAATCAGATATGATCGAAAGCACATAGTTTGAAAGAACTAATGATCGAAATGATATATGATCAAAATGGTATAAGATCAAAAGCATAAAATTGTTTTAATTCTATAGGTTTTTAGACGGGTTCCGCATCCCTTTTACGCTCTACTTTTTTTAGACATTGGAATTCAGTTAAAAACAGAAGGCCACTGAAAATCCTACATTTGTTATGAATTTATAGGCCCCTGAAGGAAAATCATAGTGAAAATGCAATAAAAATTTTCTATTGATCTTAAACCACTGAATATTTATTCACTATTTTTTTTACTATTTTACAACTTCATTTACAATAATTATTCCCTTCTATTATAGATAATCTATGAACTTAAAAAATAGTGAATAAATATTCAGTGGTTTAAGATCAATAGAAAATTTTTGTATTTTTCACTATGACATTCTTCAGGGGCCTATAACTCAGTAATTATGGCTTTCACAAAGAAATACTAAGAGACAAAAAAAAATCAAAACAGTTGCGGTCGAAGGGTTGCAGAACCCTTCTAAAAACCTATAGAAGTAAAACAATTTTAAACTCCTCTGACTCCATTTTATTGGTCACTGTATATTAACATCCCATGTACATTTTCATAAAAGTGTGTTAAGTCGTTTTAGAATAAGAGCAAAAAATCACTTCTGAATTTTATATTTTAACACCCTGTAACTTTTTTCCTATCTATTTTTTATTTAAGCAAGCTAGCTAAAATCGACTTATTTTCGACCCCAGAAACTGTGATTAAATTTACTGTACATCTTTTTGTTACACCCTATAAATATACGTTTTTCACCAATCGATTTAAATCATTCAAAAGTTTTATTCAATTTTGGTACACATTTTTTCCAAGTGCACAAATGTATTGAAGAATAGGACACTTTTTAATTGGTGAAATTTACTTCCATATTTAAACAATTCAATGCTACATTTTTTGCCAGTTTACCAGTCAAGGTACGCATTGTGAACACAAGATAAATAAAATTATAGAAATAAATAAGTAATGATCACTTCATGTAAGCATTGAATGTATGCCTACCTATTTTAACTATTTTGTTTTTAAGATAAACGTATTATTTAAACTTTAGCCCTTATCCTTGATCAGTCTATACAATTTTCTTTTTAAAATTTTTAACTATTTTTATTTGAATGTCATATACCTTTAATAATGTGGCAATGTTTCTTCAATTGCAATATATTATCAATTAAGTAATTGAAGTTATTATTTAATAAAATTCTGCAAATTACATAATCCAACTATTTACTTTTCTATTCCCAATTCTTACAAACTTGTAAAAAATAAATAATTCTCAAGTTAGTGATTTCACAGTATTATGATACAGAGATTAAATAAGGTATATTGAAATATTGACCAAAGACCAATATGTTCAAGTCAGGTTAATAAAAGTTATGAAGAGAATAATAATTATATTGCTTCTTTAACGCGAAGGAGATCAACTGTGTATATATATTTCAAAGAATATTATATCTTATATAAGTAGATCTTAATGTAGAACTGAACTTATAAATGTTAAAAAACAACCATCATTTATTTTTTTTATGTGAAATATTGTTAAAATCTATTGTTTATGTTAATGATTTACAGTTTATGAAAAAACAATTTTTGTTATAAGTGTGTCTAACCTTAGATTGTAAAAAAGTAACTATATTTGTTTTTCGTTGAATGCCAGAATTCTTTTAAAATGCAATAAAATAATATTTGGCTATTTGTATTAAAATACTCCTTTTTTTTGGCATTCTTTGCATTACACAAACCCAGTCAAATAGGTAGAATGCTCAAAAATTTTAATTTTTCAGAAAAAAACATTACAAATTATTTAGAAAATTAATTTGAAATGTAAAATGACTTATGTAAAAATCGAATTAACATGCTATTTCTAATAACAGGAAAATCTAGTTCCAATGATAATTAAATGGATAAAAAATTAGTTTTTCTTGAATGCACAAAAAAACTAAAAGTTTATAAACACTGTTTTATTAAAAAAGGAAACAAGTACAAATTCCATGAACATATTTTATTCTTGGTTCATGATCCTCAAACAATAATATTCTTTAAATCTAGGTTTAAAACTTCTTATTCCAAGTAACTACAACATAGCATCTTTAAATGGCTCACCACTAGTACCGTGACAGAACACACTGCCACCATAAAAAGAGAATTTAATCTTTTTTTTTATCTATCCTTTATCACAATAATTTACCTCTTTCTCATCGCAGTTACGTTTTTTCTCTAAAGGGTATAAAGCAATTACAGCACTGCACTGACTTTTCATCTCAAGATAAAACCTAAGAAAATGCAAGTTACCTGAAGAAATTTAGACTAAAACAGTGCCTTGAAAGGTGTAAGTCTTGAATACAAAAATCAAGGTCCGATTCAGCCCAGTACAATTTAATTGTAAGACCAAAACTTGTAGCATTTAAGACGATATATTTGTTAGTTGAATTTCTTAGCCAGCATTATGGGAAAACATGGTGTTAAAATATATGTTTCACATACCAATTGCTCGTCATTCTTTGAGTTGTCCCTTTAAGTTTTGTACGCCCATCAGAACTTATACTGGCACACTAATTCATTGAGCCTCCTCCAAAAGATACATTTTCATTAAGTGGTGCAAATATATCGAAGCTCTAAAAAATGCATACGTCAATGAAAGTTCGTATTCATTTGTTTGGCTAGTTTTTAGTCATAACTTCAAATACCAATATTTCATTTGCTGGTATCCTAAAAATGACCTCGAATAAATACGTCATCGATGATATGCAACGGTTTTAGTTTTGTATTTAGACTAGTAGAATTAATTTACTCTATGAAGAGGCCACAGACGTCATCAATAGCGCCCCGCCCACTGCCGTTGGATTGGTGGATCACTACCACTGCTATTATTCTACCAATGGCAAAACAAATTTAAAAGAGTGCATTTATTTAAAAGGTATGATTATTATGTTTTTATGATTTAACTTTTAATTTACCTAATGCTTCTTTTGTGAGTTGACGTATAATTTACCTAGGCCTAGTTATTTGTTTTGGTAAAGTTTGGAAAAATGCCCCCCCAAACAAATTAGTTGAGACAAAACAGCTTGGCCGCTGTGTACAAAAGTATACAATGTATCAAGATAAACTTTGTGTACATCACTGCTTTTCTGTAGTAGGATGTGTCCGGTCAAAAGGTTGATGAAGTGCCTAGCACGTTCTTAAAGCAACCAAAATCTAAACAGTCTTATATTGCAATTGGTATTAAATAGATAATCCGCTATACCTGCCGGTTAATCTATATTGCTTGTTAATTCAAGAAACGGAGGATTTCAACTCATTTCAAACCCGCTTCCAACAAAGCAATAACGTGAGCAGTCTTGTAATTAGACCTACATTACATTTACATGCTTAATAGTACTCAATAAGCATATATTTTAAAAAATGTGCAATAGTTATAGTTTTGCTAAGAGTGTATTTTAGTTGGTGCAAAGCGCTTCCCACATTTTTCAAATCTGGTTTTTATGTCAATGTGACGCATTTACAATTACTTAAGTGCTGTATTATTTATTTTTTGAGCATTCTCTAGTTTTGACTGAAACTAATATAATTTCTTACGTCTATTAAGTCTGAAGATAGTAAAGTTCGTTGTCAAAGGCTTTAAATACCAACTTCTAATGTGGTAAATCAAATTGTAGTCAAAAAAACATTAAGATCCAGTACCTGAAAAACAAGTGATCATAGCAAAACTTAACCTGCTATTGTAATGAGAAAAACTAGTCCAAGCTATTAGTATTAACAAGAAATTATAAAACTATCATATGTATGTATTGTGTGAGTGTAGAAAATTAGCCCTTAATACAGGTTATTATGAGAAATCAAATTTTTTTAGATATTGATCATCAAATTTCAAAGGCTTATACAACTTTATTGATAGTTTGAGAATCTACTTAAATAGCAACAAACATGTTGATAAAGTATGATAAAATTATGCAATTTAATCTTAAAGAACTGAGACTAGTGAAACAGCACTATACATATCTACTATTGTAAGTAATGGTTACTCAATTCCTTCAACCATAAGGTAAGCAAACATGGAATAATAGAATCTGGTGAGGTCAGTAATGTCTACGTTTTTCTATTTTTCTAGTTTTCATCAAAAATTATATAAATGTAAAAGTATTAAAGAACATTCAAAGTTGAATCAATTTACTTTTCTCGGTACGGAAAACTCTTAATTTTGTCACTCATCGCTATTATCAAGTCATTGTTATAAATTTAGCTTACAATCCATAAACATCCTGACAGCTCTGCCTTGTTTTCTTGCAAATATTAGCTTTGTAATTAGCTGTTTTGGAAATAATTTTTAGTTTAAATCTTCTAATTTTTTAATTTTGTAGCCCATTAACCAGATTTAATGTATTAACTTAAACTCTCGTGAGTATTAACAGTTCTTTCCAATGCTTCACAAGGATCTCAATCACGTCCCTTTTCCACTTTGATGTGATGCATTCAAAAATATATAAATAAATAAAATTGAGGATGTTTTGCTTTGTATTTCTCAAAATGTAACCTGTATAAAGGAAGTGTAAGAGCTTGTTGCCATCAAAATCTGTTGATACTCCATTCTAATCATTTTTGATGACCGATACACAACTAAAATGTTTTAAGTACATCGTTAACGGGTGATCATGAGTGGAGCTTACATTATAAATCTGTGATGAATAAAATATCTCATTGTTAACAGCGTACATATGTTAAACAAACGCTGATAAATTACGATGTAGGTCTCAAAATGCAGCACCTATTCTCCAATGGTAGCTGATGATGCAGTTTACTTCAGTGCTGCCAATCGATTTCTTTCCGAAAAAAATCAGACAATAAATATGTTGGAAGGTATCACTACAGTTGTGGATTTTAATCTTAATCTAAAAGGTAATCAAATCTAAACACCATGTTATATTTTTGCTGTCAATTATGGGCACCTTTTTTTTAATATATTCCAATGTCAAATTTAATTAATAATAAGACTGAATAAGTGTCTCTCTGAATATTTTTATTGAATATTGTCGCATTATAGTAAGTCATATAAAGAGCAAGGAATCGATCAAACCCCTATTTACACTTGATCACTAATTATTGCTATATATAAAGTAGGTATATAAATGCCTCAAAAAATGACTGAATTGGTAATGTTCTATATCTGAAAATGTTGTCACTATACTATGCTTGCAAGATCAAACCTTTGCATCTCCTTTGCTTGTGTTGGGGTAATTAATAAATGGTGTTGGCATATACAGGAGAGGAAACGATATAGAATCAATGTTGCCAGTTCTAGGTCGGTGACGTAAAATAAGCAAAATTTAAACTATATAGGTTATTCTGCTGCACATGCAAACTCTTATTCACTTCGACATAAGCAAAATAAGACCAAATGATTGATCTTACCAATACTGTATTTTATAGAATTGTCAGCAAAATATACATGTCTGACCAGGATAAAAAAAAAATTACAAAAATGTATCACAAACTTATTGCCAACACAATTAGTTGTTCCTATATTTGCTTCTCAAACCTTGTCAAAGTAGGCAGTGTAAAAATCATTGTTTTTTGAGGATATTTTAGGCATTTACCATTTAAAAGATGAATTTTTATCTCGGTAAAAATAATTTACTTATTTCAATAATATACAATATTTTCGCATTACTTAAGTCAAACAGTTCCAGAAGATTTTTATATGTATAGTGAATGTTTAATGATAGAAATGCATTTATTTCTTGATATACCTAATCTTTATCTGCCATCACGGAAGTGATCGGACTACTTCCATTATTATGTAGCTTATGATCAGAAGGAATAAAATTAACGTCAATTTATAACTCACTGAGGCCAAATTAAAAATAAAAATCTCATCTAACCAAAATTTTAATTTTATAAAATAGACGGTAGACGAGATCTTTACAAATAGTCTGACCAACAGAGTACCCTGCATAAGTTATATCTTTTTGTATAAAACAATAAATATCTAAAAATACATTGTACTTTACATAATGTTACGCAGCACCCTGCAGTAGCCTGCGGCTATTATAGAAAACGTACAGATAGAAAAAGAAGTGGAATGTTACTCATCGCCCTACAGTGTGCTGCGGTCGTCATAAGTAAAAGTACAAGTAAAAGAAGATAGAATAGTCCAGAAATGTCATTACCTGTCAAGAATGTTCTATATCCATAGTTTCTGAAATCTTCACAAATATTTAACGTTAATACCCCAGTATATCTAACAATTGGCACTCTGAGGCGGCACGTTTGATCTTTAAAAGTACAAAGCTTACATTGGTTGATGAGCCCTCTGAATTGCTCAAATTTTTTGGCAATAATTAGCCTGGGCTGGCCTGTTGCAACGTTGATCATATTCGTGGTTTCTTCGGCCATTTCATTTTCGGCTTTGTATTTTTCCCATTTGTCACATATTGTTTCGATTTTAGTAATTTCATTGTCCAAGATCTTTTCGAAATATTCAGCACCCGCTCTTGGGCTTAAGGTTTTCTTGATTATCGTAAAAACCAATAATTCCATATTAATCATTACAACACACAAAGAAATTATTGACAATAAAATATACAGTATATAAAATATAAAAATAACACATACAATATAAAAATAACATACAAGATAGAATATTCCAGAATTGTCCAGAAAACCAGTTTGAAACACCAAACAATGAAATTCAAACCAAATGAATAACTGAACGTAAGGGTACACCATGGTTAAAAATAACAGAAAAAGGTTCAAACAATTCTAAAAAAAATAATTCAAATGAGAATAGTATTATAATTATTGATGATAGTTTGGATGAATTAGATTGTGTTGATTCACTTCTTTTTCTATCTGTACGTTTCCTATAATAGCCGCAGGGTGCTGCGTAATATTGCTCCCTCCTCTCTAGTTATTCGCCCCGAATAACTTGACTACTGGGACCTAGTTGGAACCAATGGAGAGGATCTGGACCATGGGATGGAGCTATCTTCCCAATGTGAACTACGTTGAATTTACTTCCCGCTGACAGTTGAATGCGGCAGATCAGGTCGTTAATTTTCCTTATGGACGGAGTAGGGGCCTTCCCAGTTCCGCTGCGATTTCTGATGAAGTCCTCCTCGCTGCTTGGGATTGCACAACCATACCTTGTCGCCCCTCTCAAAATGTGTATCTGTGGCACGCCTGTCGATTCTAGCTTCTGCTTTATCGGTGTGGGCTTTCAGTCGTTCCCGAGCGAATCCATAGACCTTTGTTCTGCCATTGCATACATCACATTTTTTACACCAATATCCGCTACATCTCGTCGGCAATTGACCCAATAAAATCTTTCCCGAACTCGTGCCAGTGTCCTTTTAGTATCAAAGTGTCCTCCTGAACGGCTGCTATGAAGCTCCTCCAATACTTTTCTCACCTGTGACCTCGGCAGTATCACTTGGCGGACTACATGTACTCCATCGGGGCTCTCCCACTTCCGGTGCAATAGGCCATCGTGAAGATACAGGGAATCCCACTGGGTCCAGTAGCCTTTTATAGTTCTACTGTATTTGGCTATCTCTTTCCAAGTAGGTGTGACTTTATTTTTGGGCCATTCTCGGACAACCTTTAAGTCCTTGTCTTTCTTCTGCCCCTGTCTCAGACTTTCAAGGGCGATTTCTTCTTCGTCGCCCTCCGGCTTGATAGTAGTGGCCCGAAGAGTAACTTTATCAACCGGTTCTTCTCGTTCTTCGAGCCTTTTACCATACCAGCATTGTTCCTCTAAACGGGGTTGCCCGAAGAGAATGCCTGCATTGCTATGGAGACCTCCTCGATGCTCTACTTTCTGGTTATTGTTAGAAAGCCGGCTCGGTGTGAGTGATTGGCTTCTTCAGGACGCATAACTGCTATAATTAATTCTTATTGGTCTTAGTGATGGGCTTGGAAAGATTGATTTTTATGATTTTCCAGTCTCATTCGCTGATTCTCGATTTATAGAATGGGCCATGCTTCTACAGGTTCTTTGAAGGTGTCCGACTCTTCTGCAATTGAAGCATCTCCTGCTTCCATTTTGGCTGTTTCGTTGTATATTTCGTAGGATATTTAAGATTTGGGGAATAGCATTAGTATTGGCCTCGTCACTTTCCTGGGATTTAATTTCCCTTACTTTCTTCACAGATTAAAATCTGTTGAAGAGGTGACAAGCGATTGGTTAGAGGAGTTAAGCTTCAATGTAGAATCATAGTTTGGGGTTTCAGGTAGCAAGCTAAAAAATACTCCAAAATCGAATTAGAAATAGATGAATTACTGTAATAATGACGGGAAAATGTATCTACAACAAGCAATCGATAATGCATTTCTATGTACAAATATCAAATATTCACCGCATGCAGAAATCTTTCTTTTATCCAGTGAATGTCGTCTGTTAAACTAAATGAACTTTGGCCATGGAAATAGGTTTTTAGATTTGATTACTACTAATAAAAGTCAAAAAAATTATTTTAATAAGAAGCCTTGTCTGAATTTTTTTAGTGTTTCGAATACAGATTGATTCACGAGTTATGTCGTTATTTACATTTCGTTAATAATATGAATAAATAATTTTAAATAACTACATTGAGTGTTGTGATGTAATTAGGAGAATTATATAGAGCAAACTAGTTTTGTTTTTTAGGACATCAAATCTAAAGGGTTTGTAATATTTTTATCACAAATTTTAACTGAATAAACGAAACTACTTGTATCTGACTGTGTAGCTGTCTCTAAAAAAATCAAGTTTTCCTAATTAGAAAAAGCGTAAGTAAAAGACAGCAAATTTGTGTGAATCAATATGTATTTTGTCGATTATATTTATACGTAAAAAAAGTTGAAACTTATTTTCTATATATTTTAGTTTTTATTCTATTTTGGGAAAGTGTTTATACATTTAGAGTCCTTTACGACTATTTTGTTAACAAGATCAGAGGATATATAGGTTGTTCCAAGAATACTGAAAAATACTTTAGGAACTTATACAGTGTGGTAATAATATTGAAAATATTAATACTGTGAGACAAATATAACTCAAAATATATTTTATTGAAGATGATCATATTTGAGAGTTTTATTAATATACTGTTCACTATTATAATTGTATTTTCCCACCCTGTATAAGGCGCACGTTATGGTGGTGTATTATTAAATAAATAAATTATGCCACAATTCTTTATTCGCCCAGTTGCTCCATTTTTGCTGACAACAAAATTGATTTGACATTTGGATAATCTGAGATTCTAGGGAAAAACAATCACAGTGTCTAGGTACACGCTAACTTGTTCCCAATTCAAAAAGTTATATACACGCGAAACGTCTTGACAGAGTAGGTGAGCTGTGTCCATGCCGGTCGGCGTAGCCAAGTATGGATTAAGAACGAGAATTCGTTACTTCTTTTTCTTGTTGTCACGGCATTATTATTATTATTTGTTCATGTATGTGAAATTTGCTTCTAGGTTTATAACATACTACTGTTAGCTGCTAGTCACGGCGTAAATGAAAACAAACAACATGCATTCACATAAACACCTCCCACCACAGCAATATGACGTTTCGCGTGTATATAATTTTTTGATTTTTGTACACTTTAGCGTGTACCTAGCAACAGCGAAAAACAATTCAAAATGGTCTGGAATAAAACTGTGGGGAAACTATAACTATTATTCTACATATTAAAACAAACCTGAAGAATTTCTTAATATTATTGGGACATCCTATACATATAGTGGTTGTGAAACACCAAGTTGAAACATTTTGTGTCGGATAAGACATTAAATTATTAATATGTATCGAATATATTTAAGAAGTAGTGGGTTAAAATAATATTTAATTTATTTTGTACTTTACGTTAATAAGCTCTTTAAGAGTTTTGTCACTTCTATTGCGTACTGCATATGGTCCAAAATATTTTGATATGCATCGGAAATATTTTCTGTTACAAGTTGTAATACAAAACAAAAAACGGCTACATCAATCCAATTTTGTTTTGGTTTTAGAGTGTTGATTGTAAATTATAGTTTGAAAGAAGTAATCAACATGTTCACCATTAAAATATAAAAACTGATACATTATTTTTTCTTCATATTGCAGACGAAACAACATTTTGTTCACTTATAATAGAAGTTATAGTTTGACACGTTATTGTAACGATTCGAGTTTTTAAAAACATAATACAACTAACGAAGTTTTGTACATTATATGGTTTAATTTTCGATGCAATTATCAGAATGTACGACCATTGATATCAGAATATATTGAAACGTATGCAGTTCTTACTTTTTTAAATGTGCCAGTTTAATTTTGTTTAACAAAAATTTTAATTTTGCAATAATTAAATATTTTTTACCTCGTGACGAAGGTTGTTAATTTTTTTGTTTGAATTAATAATACTGCGTTGATATATATATTTTTACTTTCATTATACGTTGAGCATTTATAAGGATATTTTTGTTTTTGGTTGTAAAAATTTATAACAAATTTAAATTACGAATTTATTCCCATAGAAATATAAATGTATTTAAATTTTAGAATGTCTCTGCATCTTTATCAGTATATAAGCACGTTATTTTTTTTATTGAAAGTTTTTTATCAACCGTACATTGCAATGTTATTAAATGTATTATTAAGCATTACACAATGTGTTTTCAAATAATATTAAATTGTTACTAGTTTAAAATTTAAAACAAGTCAAAAAAACTCTTTTAGCAAAAACAATTCTTGGAAGATATTAAGAATAATTGTTTTTATTTTTTTTTTGTTTGAACACAATTCTAATTAGTTTTATGTTTTAATAATGTATTAAAAAAATAAAAATTTCAAGCTAAAAATATATTTTATTTCAATAAAAACATGTAACCAAAAAGATTTGTTTAGAAAAATAAATTTCATATAATTCCAATTGCAAACAAAAATTAAAACTTATGAAAACCGGAACAGAGAATAAAGGTGAGTTTTCACAAAGTGTTCACTGACAGGGTAGAAACATAAATTCAAATATATTTTTCTACGATCACTTATAAAAATATATCTTTTAGTCCTGCAGCAAAAACATGATATTCATCCCATAACTGTAAATTTAATCTCTAGTGACGAAAGTAAGTATATTGAAGCATCTTCTCGAATAAAAGTAACCCCAGTTTATATCAATCAATCAATATATGTTTATTGCATGCAGGTAGAAACTGGAAGGCCAAGTCGTCAATCTAAAACACACATATTGTAACTCCAAATTTAATGTTATAACGATCTTGGTACCAATTAAATCGCATTTTAGTCTTCTTTATTGGGCACAAACATTGTAGCTCCAACACCCACCAAACTACAATAAATTCAAATTTAAAACAGAATTAAGGCATTTAATTACACTTTCTAGAAGTTTAAATTTGCCATTGTCCAAAAATGCGTTTTTGGATATACAATAAGTGTGCTTTAGACCGACGAAGTGTTACCTCGCCCGCCATATTGGTGCTACACTTCCTTCACTTGCGACAGTTTATTTTGTGCTGTATTATTTGTTATTTTTTATTATGTACTTTTATTTAAACTATTTATGATGAAAAAAAAACATTAAAAGAACAGTGGCGTCGTGTACCAATTGCAATTGCCCTCTAGCACATACTTTGAACTATACGGGGCAAGAGAGAGGTCCGACACGCCCAACATAGGGCGCGGCCATTTTGAACCCTATGACACAGTTTATAGCTAAAGAATCAGATCGCTCACTCTGCGTCGGCACTTTTTATCTCAATGTTCCAGTTTATACACTGCGCAACTTAGATAATACAATATATGACAACCGCCTATAATAAAACAGCAGTCTTCTGCGTATCCTGAATTTGTATCCCTGGAGTAGATGTTATTTTGGAACTTTCAACTGGTCCGAGTGAGCTAACTGATTCTTTAGCAATAAACTGTGACTCCAAAAATAATATTCACTGACAGCAGCAAGCAAAATATCAGGTGCGTTTTAATCATCCGCTTCTGCTTCCGGAATTGTCGGTTTAGTCGTTTTAACCTGTCAGATTAAAACAAGAAAACGTGACAATTCCGAAGCAGAAGCGGATGATTAAAACGCACCTATTAAAAATATTGCGCCAAGATGTAGGCAACACGTAATAAGGGTTCAAAATGGCGGAGTTTTCTATCGCCTTTTAAAAGGCACTCAGAAAGCTGCGCAGTGCGACCATTCTCCGTATAGTAAAAGAAAATCATTGATTACTATACGAGGCAAGAGAGAGGTCCGACACGCCCAACATAGGGCGCGGCCATTTTGAACCCTGTGACACAGTTTACAGCTAAAGAATCAGATCGCTCACTCTGCGTCGGCATTTTGGATCTCAATGTTCCAGTTTATACACTGCGCAACTCGGATAATACAATATATGACAACCGCCTATAATAAAACAGCAGTCTTCTGCGTATCCTGGATTTGTATCCCTGGAGTGGATGTTATTTTGGAACTTTCAACTGGTCCGAGTGAGCTAACTTATTCTTTAGCAATAAACTGTGGCTCCAAAAATAATATTCACGGACACTGACAGCAGCAAGCAAAATATCAGGTGCGTTTTAATCATCCGCTTCTGCTTCCGGAATTGTCGGTTTAGTCGTTTTAACCTGTCAGATTAAAACAAGAAAACCGACAATTCTGAAGCAGAAGCGGATGATTAAAACGCACCTATTAAAAATATTGCGCCAAGATGTAGGCAACACGTAATAAGGGTTCAAAATGGCGGAGTTTTCTATCTCCTTTTAAAAGGCACTCAGAAAGCTGCGCAGTGCGACCATTCTCCGTATAGTAAAAGAAAATCAAAGTATGTGGACACGCCCAACATAGGGCGCGGCCATTTTGATTCCTATGCCACAGTTTATAGCTAAAGAATCAGATCGCTCACTCTGCGTCGGCACTTTTGATCTCAATGTTCCAGTTTATACACTGCGCAACTCGGATAATACAATATGACAACCGCCTATAATAAAACAGCAGTCTTCTGCGTATCCTGAATTTGTATCCCTGGAGTGGATGTTATTTTGGAACTTTCAACTGGTCCGAGTGAGCTAACTGATTCTTTAGCAATAAACTGTGACTCCAAAAATAATATTCCCTGACAGCAGCTAGCAAAATATCAGGTGCGTTTTAATCATCCGCGCAGTGCGACCATTCTCCGTATAGTAAAAGAAAATCAAAGTATGTGCGACTCGCACTCTTTGACTGTATATAACCAGACAGGAAAAGTAACTTGAACGCGTTAAATAATTAATTCCCTGGTACAAATCTCAGTTTAGTCATATTCCTTCAAAGACATACACAACACAATTTTCCTAAAATGGCCTGTATTCGAGAAATTTGATAATAAATGCAAATTTCGAATTTTTAAGATATTCTCTATAATTTTGACTATTCATGGTTTCTCTAAAATGGACCGTTATGGAAAAATTTAAGGAAAAGTGTAAAATTTTAACTTTTCAGTATTTTCGTTGACAATGAATATGTAGAAAAAAATGTTTCCAGTAAAATGTGTGCATAAAATGTATGTATTTAGTTCATCCTCTAAACATTTACAGAGGTGATCCAATAGGTTGTATAAAATAACCGGAAAAAGCCTGTAACAACTAGACAGGAAAGTATTAGACACATCAGATTTTTTTGAATTCATGTGGTTCAAAATTAAACACCAAAAGCAAGATCACAGTCTCATAAGCACAGAGATATATTAACCGGAAATTTTTAATAAATATTTCATCAGAAAATGCAAATTAATTCTCTTTCCATAAAAATTGTATATGTGGTCCATTCAGAGATAACAGAGATATAAGCATTGATAAAATATAATATTCACGATGCCAACATTAATTCAACAATCGACACATTCTATTTCTAGACGCGGGGCGAGGCGACGAAAGGTGAGAAGTAAGAAATGGGACAAAGAGAAGAATTTTACGCAAATACAACTTTTTTTTATCAATGAATAAATGTGTAAGCCGCTGCGCGCTTATAATACACAACGTAAATTGCCACTTCCAATCCAACATCACTAGGTTTTGGAATTTATTGAAAATTATTACATCTAATTTAGTGAAATTACATCTAATTTAGTTAAATTTAATATAATTAATATTCAAAATTTTTTGGGTTCAGTTGCAATAAAATAGGTTGGATTATTTTAGCTTTTTAAATATATGTAAATAATTTTGTAAACAAAACGAGAATAATGAAATAGGCATATGACAACAGCGGATATTATACCCGCCTGTGTCCCTTAGAATATGTCTTATTCAGGGCCGTACGATATTTGTTAGTAGTTACATCTCCTCGTTATCTCTGGGTCCATTGATATCTTCTTCTCCTTCATCTAAATAATAAATAAGAACTTCCAAATACATTGTATATAAAAAAAAAAACAAGAGAGAAACGCCAAGGAATTCGTATAGCCAGTTCACAAAGTATCTTTAAATTTACCAACATGTAAAATATTGAAGATAGAGACGTCATTATTATGAATTTCAAATACTTGGATGATATTTCACGATTTACTCTTTAATTATTTTAATCTTGGTAAATTGAAATTCTTTATTAATGTTTTCCAGAAAAATAATGAATATTTTTATTTGTTAATGATTTAAGCAGACCTCATTTATTGGAATTTTACAGTAATAATTTAAAATGTAGGGGAATTGTGCCTGAGATGGCATACCCGGGCGAGACGGCATACTGGCGGTTTCACCGAAAACACTTTAAATCTGGCAACTACGTGCATTGGTTTATATGCATTTTGACATGGAACGGTCGCTGTGTAAATTTAATTCACCTGTAAGTAAAGGGTATGGTCTATTCTGTAAGTGTTGACGGAGTACGTACGGTCTGTTGTATATTGTTGGTCCGTGGAAAGTTTTCTGTAGGGAATTATATAGGTGTTTGTTACTTCGAGAGTTTAAACTTTTGCTGAGATTTGCTAATGTAGCAGTGTTTAATTGTTAAAGCTCTACACATCTGTTGCACAAGAAAACACAAAAATGTAAGTGTAAACTAACAACATACGTCTAAAATAAATCATGCATTTCAGGGAGAAATGGCATGGCAATAACCAGATTAAGATGGTATGGTATGCCGTCTCACCCTGAAGTATGCTATGTCGCCCACAATTGATATATAGCTTAATTCTCCTTTTTTTACAGATTTTTAAAGATGGTTGGAAAATACGTCCGAAAGTCTGAGCGACAAAGTTGGAGAGAAGAAAATATGGTAGGAAGCACTTAACGCAGGTAAAAATAACCAAATGGGATGGCTTTGGCATCAAAAACATTTAATGTACCTCATACAACATTAAGAAGACGTGCTAAAAATGATCGTAGATCCGGTAAGGGTTACTTAGGAGAACATGTTCCAACTTTTGATGTCCAGTTGGAAAATGAACTGGTGCGCCACGTAAAAGAATTAGAAGTGCGTTTTTTTGACTAACAACGTTAGATATTCGAAGGCTTGCTTATGAAATTGCCGATGTAAAGAAAATTCCAAATAGGTTTTCAAAAGAAAAGAAAATGGCAGGATGGGATTGGCTGAAGGGATTCCGCAAACGAAATCCTTCTATTTCGCTTCGTACACCAGGGGCAACATCATCTGCAAGACCTCGTGCGTTTAATAAATTCAGATTGGGAAGTATTTTAATAATCTTGAGAAGGTACTAGATGGACACAAATTCTCCCCAGAAAATATATTTAACATGGAT